CAGAGAGGTTGTTGAGGCCCCATCCCTGGAGGTGTTCAAGGTCAGGCTGGAGGTGGCCATGGGCAACCTGGGCTGGTGGGAGGTGTCCCTGCCCATGGCAGGGGGTTGGAGCTCAGTCTTCAAGGTCTTTTCCAACCTAAACCATTTTATGATTCTTGATCCAGTTGTTGCTTTTGGAATGATGACATGAGAACTATTATTTTTCTTTTGCAACTTCTTCAATTTTTTCCCTGTCTGTTTGGATCTTTGTGCTCTGTGAAGTTCTGATAATTTCTGCCCTGCCCTACTGTTTTGTTTTGTGTTGGTTTTTGTTGTTGTTTGTTTGTTTTTTTAATGTATCTTAGATGCTTGATTCTCAGAATATGGTTTAAATGACTGCTACTTTCTAGTAGGCAACGTTAAGTTTCCTTATTTCTGTTTTTGTTACTTTATAATATGTCCAAATGCATTTAATCAAATTACTTTTTTTTTTCCTTTTTCTTTCCCCCTTTCCATTTATTCTTCTTTCTGTCCTCCCTGTCTCCCTCCATGCTTCTGTCTTGTTTCCTGTAACAACATCTTGCTAAGCTATTGCCTTTTGTTTTCAAATTCTCTATTCTGTACTGGAGTTACTTCAAGTTTCATATTTAATACTCTTCCATCTTCATTTGATAGCATGGATTTAGCTGTCGTATGAATCCCATCAGATATGTTTTTCCTTGCAATATTGGTCAGACATGTCTCTTAATATTACTAACAGGTAATTAATATACAAATGTTTCGAGATTATTTTTTTTTTGGTCTGTGTGCACAAACCACAGAAGTGAATAGGCATGAACTGTCAGTCTTTACTGTTATAAATACAAAATTATAGTAACTGTGCAGGAAGAAATACATAATCTTTTATTGTATAATTGGTGAGCTGTGGTAGCATACCTAGTCATATCTTGAGCTAGGAACGTCAGGTTTTCTTGGTGTCCTTCCTTGCTCCCCACCCCTGTAACCTCCTTTATCCTTGCAGCTAACGTGCGAGGCGAGGCCGTGGGGAATGTAAAGCAGTGTCCTGAACACAGTTCTCTGGATACATGTAGTTAAATTTAAAGCAAGTACAACTGGTCCTGAAACCTTTGTGTGTAACACCAGGCCAGAAAGCACTTTACAATTCACGGTCTGATCACAAAGTTGGAGGCATTCTAATAACTTAGGAAATGTATTAAGCTCCTGCTTGTGTCTCCTAAACTTATACATCTCCAACCGAAATGCACTGAGCAGTTGACAGAGATAGGGAGACACTGAGAATTTATTTATTTATTTATTATTCACTGTGTCATGGCATCTCTGATATCTTTTGAGCAATAACCCAAAACCTGTATTTCTGCCCTTACTCCCTGTTTCTTGTAAGTGAAGTCTAAATACACATGCACCTAAGTAGCTACACCCTAAATTCTGGTTTTGGACTCTGACTGAATAGAGTGCACACCCATGTCCTGATTTCTCCCTCCTCCAGACAAGAATTTGTCATGAGTCTGTCAATAAAAATTTGAGTGCTTATTAAGATTCCAAATGTAATTACATGTATCTTTGCTCCATCAGAAGGCTCTGAAATAAAAGCTTAAATCATTATGTGAGCAGTGGAAAACACATTCAGCACTTGTTTCAAGAGCTCATGCAAGTGTGTAGTATGTCTAGGGAAAAAAAAATAGAACCAAAAGTAACCTCTGAACTTCATTCTGCTTTGTTCCAGTTATGCATTGCTGAACTGTTCTGAATCATAATTTACTGTGTTCATGCCTGTGTAATTTTTAAAACGAATAAGTACTTCTGCAAAGCATTTTTCTTGAAAGGCCCTACATTTGAGGTAGAAAAGGACAGTATTAATAACCTAAGTCATTACCCATGTCAGGAACAAAACTGACTCTTTTTCCTCCATGTGAAATGAAACCTCTTGTATGAGAACTTGTGGGAGTAGTGCCAAGGTGCCTGTGCGAACCCTGAACCATTTGGAACTGGTGATCAACCAGGTTAAGTTTGAGCTTCCTGACCACGTAGCTAGTGTCCCTGCTTTGCAAGGCGCACTTACCAGCAAGTCGGGTAAGTGGAAGATAACATTCTGGCCAGCTCTTAAGAACTGTTGGCTGAGCATAATGAGCTTCTCCCAGCTAATCTTCCATACCTGGATTACTTGTCAGATTGATTACGGGCTGCTAATGTCTTGAATTTTCTAAGTCTGGTTTTGGATAAGGTAATGGCAGCGGTGTAATGTTTTTACAGTACAGCGACAGACACTGCTGAGCATTATTGCTGTTCATGTCATGAGGATATGCTAAAAATAGATACAGAATAATGTTGTCCAGAATAAAGTTAGTGGAGGAGAATAATATGAACTCATGTAAGTAAGGTATATTCAACCTGCACTTATTCTGAAATACATAGCTTGTCAGTGTGCTCGGGATGGGAAATTATTTGGAACACATTATATCAGTGTTTCAATTATCTGATTTCTAGCTAAAAATATTGAATCATATTCACCATTTCATTTCTAGGCCTTCAGTGGGGACTGGTTTCTGTACTTGACAGATGACCTCCCGTATCACCTGCAATTTACTGAACCCGTGCAGCAGAATATCATAGAATAATTTAGACTGGTTGGAAGGGACCTCTGGAGATCCTCTTGTCTAACCTCCTTGGCTGTCATCCTCGAGAGTGAAATTTGTTTTGAGCAGAGATAGCCATCCTCGTAATCTACCTGGGAATTCAAGCCTCATCTTAAAAAGAAATTTGGAAGATGGTTAGCATCAGCTTCTCCTTTTTGACTTAAGCTGCTGAAAGCAGATAGCTATGTAGATACGCACAACTGAAAACTAAACTGGAATTTCTAATAGTTGATCAGAAAGATGTATATATTTCTCTGTTACACTTAAGCTGTCTCTTGAAGTGAAAGCATTGGTACTGGAATTACAGGCATAGCTTGAAGCTGTTGGCATCAGGTGACTGTTCTTCGTATGTTCAGGGAAACATCTTTTTACACATTCAGTCCTGAGAATTTTAATTCCTTGTCTAACCTTTCTTTTAATGAGATGAAGGTATTTTGTGGAGAATTGTGTAAAAGAGAAGATCTTTACTCCTGGAAATCTATTTGATTTCATCTGACGGCTCTGTCTAGCTAATGCATGCAAGCTGTGCCTATTTCAGTTATGCATTACATCCTTTTAGAGAGGTTTTTTTTAACATACTAGATTTTTACTTTGTAGCATGCAGTAATGGGCACGTTGTTTTATTGTTTGATAGGGATAAACAGTAGCTGACTGTTCGAGACTTGCATGTTGCTTAGATAGCTTTTACTCGTGCTCATGAAGGCAGGTACTGATGTATGTTTCAAAAATGAAGGGGGGGAAAAAAAAAAAGTTGAGTACCCAGAAGAGAAAACTGATGTCATAACATAAGAAACATAGTTTTGGTCAAAGGCAATTATTTTTTCCTTTTCTTTGAAAAAGAAAATGTTAACTTTGCTATTGAACTGAGATATAACCAGTTGCGATGACAGATCATTCAGAAGCAAGAGATTATGGTATTAAGGGACGTTTTTGCACTTTTCTGCTGTCATGAGGATCCTAAGCTGTAGAACTAGAGACAACTTGCTGTAGTAAATCATACAAAGTTGGTATTACATCTCTTTTATTCCACCATGCTGTATCCTAGACTAATGGCAATAGTTGTGGGTTTTTTTATTGCTATATATTGCTAACCTCATCTGACTCTGGGCATTTCAGTAGCAGATTTAAAAGTCTCTTTGTAGGCTCTTTGGAAGAAGACATCTTAAACTTAAATAAAGTTTTAAAGACACTTGCCATCAAACCTGAGCTTTTCCAAGTACCATTAGTATTGATACCTCAAATACAAGATGTTCTCACCATAGTTATTGTAGTTTCTCCAAAACCAGAATACTGCTTTTATTCCAGAGAAGAATTGTTTGAGCCAATATATCTCAGAGCATTTTCTGGGAGGTTGGGCTAAACAGGCTGAGAGGCTCCTAATTGTCAGTTTTCTCTACTATTTTGTTTTTATTTATTTGCTTAAATCTCTGTTAAATGAAATTTCTTTTAAAGAAAATTTCTTTGAAAAAAATCAAAATGCAGTACACTTGGGCAAAATCTTCCCATTAAGTGAGATGAGAGCTGTGGATGTGTAGATTATGGGATGACCTGTCCTCACTTTTTTATTAGTAATTGTTTTAAAATCATGCATAAAAATGTTTTCTGGCTTTTTAAAAATCCAACAGATCAAGTCACGATGGAAAGAACATCTGTGGACGCTGTGGATACCAGAGTGATGATCTTCTCATCGTTTCGAGATAGTGTGCAAGAAATTGCAGAAATGCTTTCCCGGCTCAGTCCGGTTGTTAGAGTAATGACATTTGTTGGCCATTCCACAGGAAAGAGCACAAAAGGCTTCACACAAAAGGAACAACTTGAGGTAAAGAAAAGATGAAAGTTGCATTAGGAAATAGTGATAAACAGTATTAATTGTAAAAATAAGAACCCGAGTGCTGATATAGATTGCATGGCAGTGACTGAACTTTAAAGCATTATTAGTAAATTCCTACGTAATTCAATTGTTTTCAGAGTATCCGAAATTATACTTGCTGAACAGAATATATAAGTAGAAATAATTTGTAAGTTTACATTACATTAACAAATTACAACTTTTATATATTTGAAAATCTGGGGAAATATTCAAATACTTGCTATGGGAATATTTTTTTTTTCTTGTAGGTAGAAAAAAATAAGGTATATCCTTAAACTTTAATCTAGCAAAGTTTAAAAAAAATAAATAAAATTTTAATTGCAAAGTTGGGAAGATAAAATTTAAAAGAATGCCATGGTTGGAGTCAGAATAAGGTGTGCTTTTTTCTTTTATTTTAGAATTGAAGAGTTGATATGTTGATGTTGATAACATTAGTGCATGGTATTTGATCACAATGAATTAGTTGACAAATTCAGTGTGACTGAGTTTGGTAGCTTTAAAATATAAATTAATTATTTTAACTTCTGTCTGAACCCTGAACCTAGAAAAACTGTGAAGTGTGTATAAGGGGCTTTCTGGCTAATCTGTTAAATCTAATTTTAATTATTTATTCAGGTGGTAAAACGCTTTCGGGAAGGTGGGTATAACACTCTGGTCTCTACCTGTGTTGGGGAAGAAGGCTTAGACATTGGAGAAGTTGATCTCATCATCTGCTTTGACGCTCAGAAAAGTCCAATTCGCCTTGTGCAGAGGATGGGCCGAACAGGGCGCAGGCGGCAAGGCAGGATCGTTGTCATCCTCGCCGAAGGGCGGGAGGAACGGGTGAGTGTAGCTTTCTTCTCACTGGGAAAACAGACCGGTTTCGTCTGTTCCAGGTAACTATACTGTGCATTAAAAATCACAGCAATCCTGAGCACTCCTAGCAACATTTACCTGTCCCTACAGGAAAGTATAGTAACACGCAATATTCTGAAAATACGTGCACTTTCTCAATATGAAGGGCTTCGAGCCTTTGTTCTTAATAGCACTTATTTTGTAAACAATAAACTGAAAAATGAAAATACAGGGGGTTGTTTTGCCACGGGTACAGAACAAGGTGTGGAAGAGAGAGGGATGGAGCTCTGAGAGCGAGGGGACTGGAAGCGTCTAACTGAACTGCTGACGACACTGCGCTTTCAGACATGTACTTAGTGGGAGCAGACTTGCGTGTGAGGTCTGAAGAGATCAGCTTAAGTGGAAATCTACTTTTGCTAAATTCCTGAACCTCAGCACTCAACTCTGAGTATAATTAATTGTCTCTGAGTGCAGGCTGCCCATTGGGAAACTAATGTACTGGTGGAAGAATAAGCTGGGAGTTGTGAGCTGGGAGAAGCGATCTTCAGCTGTAGCAGCAGCCTGCCCCGCTTCGTGCTGCAGCCGCGCAGTTCCTGCATCTGATCCAAGGGAGCTGGCAGGGCAGGGTTTAGGTTGGAGGAGGCGAGGCTGTCCCCCTTGACAGCACTCGTTGGTAAGCGTGGTTGCAGAGTTATACGAACCTGCAGCTTTACAGTTTCATCGTGCAACCCCTCTTGGAATGTGAGGCGTTTTCAGGGTGCACCTCACTGTTCTGGCTGAAAATTTTGTTCTTCTCTGGTTTTGTTTACTTGCAAGGTTGGTTCTGAGTTGGATCACGTTTCGTGACAGAGAAGTCTGAGATCTGTGTAAGCTAACTGTAACCCCAAAATTTCAGTCTTGCTATTATTTCATGTATTCTGGTCGATGCTGTGCCTCTGGTTCAAATTTGTAGGTAGCAGGGATTTAATCCTAAATGAAGGTCCAAAGAATCCTGCCTGAGGAAGAAAAGCTGCTTTGAAGGGATGAGAGTTAAAAATTATAAAAGTGAATGGTATTTGGAAATAGATATTTTCTCATGCTGCTTATGAAGACTGGTTACTACTGAAAGCTCTGCTCTGTAATAGGGTATTAAAATGTTCCCTTAAGTTCCTTAGAGTTTCACTTAAGTAGTTGGATTACTGGGCTTTTCAGATTTTCTCAGAAATCTTTGAAGCAGAACTTTCCCCCAGGTAGGATAGTAATTTTATATATTTGTTTGTTTGTTTGAGATCATGAAATAAATCTAATTGCTGAATAATATTGGCTTTGGTTGGTTTTGCATGTTTTTTTTTGTTGCTGTTTTGGGGTTTTTTTATTGGGTGTCATGCCAGATCTCTTAATGTGGAGATTCTTCCCCATCACATAACTTGCGGCTAAGTAATTAATGGTCTCCTATTAATTCGTGGGAATTTGTGGTTTGGTGTGGGTTTGTTTTTTTGTTTGTTTGTTTGGGGTTTTTTTAATCTAACCAATTCAAGTCAATTATAAGGCTTTTGAAGAAATTTTATTGGGAAAATTGGAGACTGCAGGTTTGGAAGTTTGAAGTTAGACAGGGATTTCTCTTACAGCAGTGTTTATTACTCTGTTCCTGTCTCCTCTCCTCCCCACGTGTTTCCCCGCCCGGCTCAGCTGTCCCACGTGGAAGCATCTCAGCCGTGCAGTGCACGTCACGCCGTTGCACCCTGCTGATGCACTGGGTTCCCTGAGAGTTCAGCTTTCGAATCTTCTCCCTTTCTTGTTCAGCTGTGTTCTGAGACGTACTGTGGTGTGATTTGCGTTTTTTAACCTCTTGTGACAGCCCAGCTGCACGTGCGTCAGCCTGGACAGGGGCTGTTAGCTGCAGATTTAAACTGGTACAAAGCGAAGGGCACAGGGGAGCTCATAGCCTCTCAGGCTCCCGTCCAGCCAAGCTGACGCTCTCTGTCAAACAAAGGAAAAGGAAACATGCTGTCTCAGTAACAGTAAAGTAACAATTCTGTTGAGCAATTAATTTGATAATACACTTTTTTTTTTTCCCATAAAAATACTTTTTTTCATGTTCTAGGCTTAAAAGATATTTATTGGAATGCCTCAGGGACAGTGTAATAGAGCTAGCCGTTAACCTCTTCCAGTTTTATTCAGAGAGCATCTTTCTGTGTCCATCTCCTCTAATCGTGGCTTCCAAAGATCACCTCTCTCAAAAGATCGTAGCTGCCTAACTGGGCGTGCTGTCTACATCAGTGACCTTCCACAGAGACTCAGAGAAGGGTATTAGGACAAGAAAGGTTCAGACCAGGGAACCAGTTTCTTTCCTCAGTTTCTCCATCTTTGTCTTGGTTTCTCTGCACCATAAAAATGGAGTGTAATTAAAAGGACTTGGAGCATGTGTGACACTAACAAATAATCATATGCCTTTTTTTTTCTTGACCTCCTTTCTTTGTTTCTGATGTAATCTAATTTACATCATCCCTGTATCTATTGCAGATTGTAAATTCCCCCAGGCGAGGGCTGTGTTTCTTTTTCTCTCAAGTGCTGTGCCTACTTCTGATCTATTTACAGAGTGTGAAAAGCTGTACATTATGTTATATTTTGTATTGTTTGCAACATAAAGAACAATCACTGTTCTTTAGTACTTCCTTCAAGGCACTTCATTGCTTTTTGTTGCATTTGCTTTGAATGTTTTACCTAGGTACAAAATGATGATAATGCAAATCTAATTTGACTTACATATTTTAGTATGGAAGCTCTTTAAAAAAAACCAACCAACCCACAATTTAGGAACTATGTTTTACCGTGTTGATTATCAGATTTTCAATAGAGCCCTTACTGCTTTGTTGTTTTCACCTATGTCCTTCTGTTCTTTTTCCCTCTCTGCTTTGGTGACCATAATGTGGAGCCGTACTGCTAGTCTTCAACTTGCAGCTCAAGAACTTGAGCAAGTAGTTCTGTTGACCTAACTGACAACATTCACAGAAGAGGGTATATGGTTGGCCCTCAGGGCCTTGCATCATGTCTTTTTTTTTCAGTTGTGTTTGAGGAAGAAAAGATAAGAACCTCAAAAACATCTCGGTGACTGAATATAAAATAATGAGAAGCCCCACAGTCCCTCAGGTGTTCTTTTACTTTTGATCAAGTCATGTGAAAAAACAATCCAACAACATATGATTTATTTTCTCTTTTACAGACTTACAATCAAAGCCAGTCTAACAAAAGGAGCATCCACAAAGCTATTTCAGGAAACAAAACACTTCATTTTTACCAGCATAGCCCACGTATGATTCCAGAAGGCATAACTCCAAAGTTGCATAAAATGTTTATTACTGCTGAAAAATATGAACCAAGCAATTCAAGAATGCTTTCCAAAGAGAGAAGATCTAGTTCCCTTCAGCATAAATCTGCTCTCTTTTCCTGTGTCACCGGTAAGAGGATTATGGTGTTTCTCTAAGCGCTGCATAAGCTGCTATCTCATGTTGTTATATTGCAGCATATCAAAACTGTGTGCTCACATGAGTTTTCGGTTTCTAGAAGAAATGTAATTTCTGTCAGCTGTAGCCTTTCAACTGCGATACCATACTGACTGCTGCTTTGATTCCTCATCCTTTTTCCTTTAAGATCCTCAAATCACAGTTCTGTCCTTAAATATATGTACTTCAAATCAGACATTTGTTTCATCTTTCTCCATAGAGTTTTTCATGGAGTCAATGACTGAAGGTCAGAAGCTCCAGCTACAAACAGAAGCAGCAAATATTAATGATGTCTTCTGAAGACTTCTGATACACCTATGTGTCCAAGGCAGGACACTGTGTCAGGTGGCATAATTGTCACTTAAATGCTCAGTGATAATTCTATACTAATTGGTTTTGCGCTTTAACAGTTAGGCTTAATGTTTTTATTAATACAAGAGAAGTATGTCTTATGCTTTGTAAATGACAATAAAACAGAAATGTGCGAAAACTAAAGGATTTTGAGGAAAAGGAGAAATCAAGGGTAGGGTATTTATGAATTGCACACACTCTTGGAGGAAAATTAAAAAGAAATGGCTTTTTAGCTGATGCAGTTACATGGCACTGAAATGCTCAGTAAACTGAACAAAATTATAAGATAGAAAGAAAGAGCTAAGTTTTGTAAATACTAGGAAATGGTTGTGCTCAAGCTCTTTGATTAAGTGCTTTCTGGAAAGACCAACGGCAACTTCTTGAAAGAAGAAACTCCCAAAAGCCTTGGGGAACTTCGTGTTTCGGTATCTGAGTAGTTAGACTTTAGTGGTTTTTAAATGTTTCTGGTCACTAAAATTCTTATTATCAAAATCTACATCCGATCTCTTTCCAAACACTGTCCAGGGCAAACAAAAGGGTGAACACAGAAATGGGAAGCAAGCTACAAAATGACGCAGGAAAACATCAGTTGTCCCTTTGGCCTCCAAAACAGTTCACGCTATTTTGCAGGGTAGGAATGTAATGGAGCAGAATTAGTATCGATAACTCAATCTGTACGTGCCATGCTCAGCCCAAACTCTTTGTAAGTGCGCGTGTGCTGCAGATACAGCTGTGACACACTTGTGATGGTGCTCCTGATCATGACGTTTCCCGCTTTGCCTCTGGAGCCTTCTGGAGGGCATGCTTATCTGGGGTTTGTGCACAGCCCAGATGGTGGCCAGTGAGGAAAACTAAGGGCAGAATAAACAGACACAACTTGCAAGAAAATAAGCAGAGCAAAACATCATTTTAGAATATAAGTCCGCCCTAGAAAATAGAAATGAGAGGCAGTAAATGCATAAAGAAGATAATATGCTGAATATTTTTCCTGCTACAAAAGCTGTAATTACCAGGTTCCTTTTGTGTGAAATAGGTTAGCAGCTGCCACAATTGAAGTACCTTGTGCGCGTGGAGGTCTATCAGTTGTTGAAGATGAACATGATCGACTGCCCATCTTGCAAACAAGCGTTACATGAGTGCAAATTATTGAGCACCAGCTTTGTGTTGAAGTCCTCTTCATTACTGTATGAAGCCAGGGGCTGTTTCTGATTTTAATGACGTTCAAGATAAATCTAAAAAAAAAGAGAGAAAGGTCTTTATTTTTTTTTTGTTTGTTTTGTCTCCTTATTTCAGTGCCCCTTCCACATTAGAAAGTTAAAAAAACTAGCAGCAATAAATAAGCTTTATGTTGTCTTATTTTTTGTATTTTATTGTCTCTACTTTCATTTATTCTTGAGGTTCAGTTGGTCTTCAGGTTTGTCCATGGAAGAATAGATGTGCACAGAAATTGAAGTGTCACAGGCAGAAGTATCCTAGTAATTTCAAGCATTATCCTTCTTTTCTAGTTGAAATTAAATATTTCCTGTTCTTTTTCATTTCATCCAATTTCAATTAATTTTACACTACCTTTCCACTTCAAAAACTCTTTCATAAATTTTATCTATTTGTCAGTACCTGAAGGACACATAATTCTTGTCTTGGCCCATCGCTAGCTAAGTGTGTTCTTCAGTTGTATGAGCTTTTCTTCAAAAAGTACAGCAACAAGAGCAAAAACACCATTCTAATTTGAGATTCTTTTTTCCCTCTGTTTTGGTTTAGTTTGGTTTTGGTTTTTTTGTTTGTTTGTTTGTTTTTTAAGAGTTTGCTAAAATTGAGTAGCATATTGGTAAGTGCGGTAAAAACAAAAAGCATTTAAGAAAGAGTAGTTTTGTGCTTAAAATGGTTTTGTCTCTTTGGAGGAAAAATCTCTGAACAGGTGTCTTTGGAGACAGCTCATGTTTTTTAGGCTCATCTCTTTTACTTTATAAAATGAGAATAACTATCCCACAAGATAATTGAAAAGGTGAAAGTGCAGAAAGATCTGGATAATCACCTCCAACGTGTGTTATCTTTGCAAGTTCTCTGGCAATCTCCCCGCTCTGTGAGAGGTATGAAACCACAATAGGCACGGCGAAAAAAAAGAGCTCACATGCATTAAAATGTGCTCTTCCCTTACCCTGTTGTTCCGGGTAGCTGAATGTCATTTTAAGCTATCAATAATTTCTTTGGTTTTTCTTTTTGCATTGCATTTGTCTAGATGAAATCTCATTTTATGAATTCTTCTTTTCCTGGTTCTTCACAACTACTGTACTCCCCCTTTTCAGATTGTATTGATTTTGAGTTGTCTATAGCTGGTTGGGTTTTGTTTTTGATTTTTCAATTTCACATTATTACTTCAATTGCTGTTTTTATCTTAACCAAGCATTCATCTTTTACTGTCTTTTTCTAAAATATACCTGTACCTTCTTTAGTCTTTAGACCTTTGTGGGTTTTGATGCCTTTCCAGTTGTCTGTGCCTTTTAATATAGTTGTGGCGAGGGCTGATAAAATTTCTGCGTTCATCTCCTATTTGAATTAAGCATGCATAATAACACACTCTAGCTTCTTGAGTGGTTGTCAGAAAACTGTAGAAATACTGCAAAGACTGCTGTTCTCACTGTTTATTTTCATTGAAGAAAAACAGTTAATCAAGGATGTGTTTATGCACCTGTACTTCAGTTCTTTAAATTCAGGTTTCCAGTCCTGACAGTACCGGTGTAGGAAGGCACGCTGCTTTGTGTGCTGCACTGGCAATAAAAGACTTCACATCTGCCTTGTGCTAGCTTTATCCTGTCCTGGTTTCCTCAGTCAAGAACTGTCTTCATCTGATTCAGACAACATCTGGCCTTTGGCTTCTGAAAATTTAGTCACCTGCCTGCTTCCTTGTGTATATATATTTTTTTATTATATTCTTTTAAAGAGTGTGTTACCTCCACCTTTCCTGAGTTACACCTTTTATTGTTTTCAGGATGGCAGCTACACAAAACTTGCCTAATAAGGTGGGTTTGTGGTTTTGGTTTTTTTTTTACCTTATTTCAGCTACACATAATTTGAATTATTTTTTTCAGCCAATGACCTGGCTTCTCCAAAATACCGATTCCATCTTCTTCTGTGGTCATGCCTTCCCCAAACAAGCCGCTTCTACTGTCTATGGAAGCATGAATATCAATTTTAATCCGGCCAAAAGCAGCAATATTGTGCTCATTGCTTTACCTGTCGTTCTTCCCTGCCCCCTTCCCTCTCCCATGTTCACACACTTCTAGTAAAGGAAGCATTATTCTGCATTGGTAGTGCATAATTTCTTAGGGAAACCACCAGAACCTTTGAGCAGATGAAAGTTTCTTTTGCACCAACAGCTTTCTTCATAGCGAGAAGAGGGACAGTTTATGACAATGGATCTGAGGTATCACGGCTGGCTGTACTGTCCTGGTCAATATGGTGCTTCCAGGTCCTTCTTTCTTGACCTTAAACAGAGGTTATTCCTTTGAGAACTGACAAATTCCCTGCTAGCTACAGGCTAAATCCACCTTCTTCTGCCCCTCCAGGCTATTTGTTTCTCTCCTCCCAGTTCAAGGGAAAGGAAAATATTTTGGTTCTGGAGAAAAACATGGAAAATAACATTAATGATTTTAGTGGTCTGTTTGTCTTTGGTAGTACCTTGCATTTGTAACTCCAAATGTTCTTAAAGATTATTTACCCTTAAAATGAGCATGTACTACTTCACATGAAGGGAAGACGCTGTTGCCAGTTACTAAATTCAACAGGGCGTGGTAATCATGGAATCATAGAATGGTTTGGGTCGGAAGAGACCTTTAAAGGTCATTGTTGAGGTTTAACCCCAGCCAGCAGCCAGGACCACGCAGCCGCTCGCTCCCTTCCCCAGTTGGGATGGGGGAGAGAATTGGAAGAGTAAAAGCGAGGAAAAACTCGCGGGTTGAGATAGTTTAATAGGTAGTGCTAAAGCTGTGTACTCAAGCAAAGCAAAGCAAGGAATTAATTCCCTACTTCCCAGGGCAGGCAGGTGTTCAGCCATCTCCAGCAAAGCAGGGCTCCAGCACACCTAACAGCTACTTGGGAAGACAAACACCGTGGCTCCAAACATCCCTCCCTCCCTTCTTCCCCAGCTTTATATCCTAAGCATGACATCCCGTGGCGTGGAACATCCCTCTCGTCAGATGGGGTCAGCTGTCCCAGCTGTGTCTCCTCCCAACTTCTTGTGCCCGCTCCCCCTGCTCACTGGTGGGACGATGTGAGGAGCAGAAATAGTGGTCTGAGCTATAAATGGAACTATACTAGTGTATGTTTTTCTGTTAATCTAGTCAATGTATTTATCTAGTCAATGTATTTTTGAAATTTCTTTGGGTCTTTTTCTTAAGTTTGCTTTTAGTTTTGAGAACTCTGAATTGTGGCTTTGTGTAAAAATGAAGCACTTCATAATTTGCTGAACTGCCAGTATTCTGTCCAGCTGTAGTGATTCCTGGTTAGTACAAATACGTGCCTATTGCTGGGGGCAGCTTGCCTGTATTTTAGCAAACTTATTTCAGAGTGCTCTGCAGAGCTCTCTGTGACACCTCTTTTTTTTTTTTTATTTTAAGAAGGGAGTCTTGAATTTGTAGTTTGAACACTGAAAATATAAGGTGGGTGATTTTTGTTTTGTTTTTTTTTTTGCTAACCCTTAAGTCTGAAAGTGTATTTTACTTAGATGTTTGCAGCAGTCGCGTTTGTCTCGGTTCCCAATTCTCTCCGTCTGAGTTAGGCTTCACTTGATGTGAAATATCAGTCCTGTCAGAGTTTATGGCCTGTTTCTTCACCTAGGATGAGTAGAACAACAGCAAAGAGTTTAAAAATGTTAAAAAGTAGAAGTGAGAACTTGAAGAATAGTGTGCTATAAGATAAATTTCCTTCAGTGTGAGATCTTCAGTTTACCTCCCTGTAACAGCAACTAGGTTGTATGGCTGAAGCAGAGTTTGAACGCAGTCTTCTGCTCCTACTTTCCTCCTTTTGCCAGAGGTACCCACATATTTGGGCCAGATGGTCAGACCTTTCCCCGCATTGGAAGAAATTACTGTTTCTGGTGAAGGGACCTGTTGAGCTACCTGTAATTTCAGCATTAACCTGCGACATGCTGGACTGTATTGCTTGTCTGCTTTATCAGACAATTCCCTTCCATTTCTCTCTCTTAGGGAGATCTGTTGTGCTTTCTCATGTACAAAGACCATTTTCTTGACAGCCAAGAGTGCTTGCTCTGCTCAGAAACACAAAGAGAAAGCCCAGAGCTTCGGAATTTTGCCCGCTGCTGTAAGCGTTCATGCCTGTGTCATGGTGCACCATGTATTACTTGGGCAGATGGTAACGCAGGATCCTCTTGACTCTGTCAGGAGTTCTCCTCTGGAGTTGTAACACAGAGGGCTGAAGTCCTCTGTTGGTCTCAGTGTTTCCCCGGACATGTCTGGATCACAAGGGTCCAACACCTGAGGTGTTAGGGAGGGTTCCGGTGCACTGCCTCATCCTCAAGAGCAAGAAGGAACCCAAAACCCCAAACTAGATCTGTTTGTCTATGAAGTTTTTCGCTGGAGCCCGCTTTTTCCTATCTAGCAATTTGCTGTTTGAAAGTGCAGTCTCAGTTCTGTGGTAGGCCATCTTTTTGCTTTTTGGTTGTGAAGGTAAATCTTAAGTGATGCAGTAGGCATCACTCTGGACTGACCGAGGGCGTTAGGTTTTGGCTATAACTGAGGACTCATTCTGGCCTTTCCTTTCTACCTTGTCCAGGCAACGCAGTCCAGAACTCCATGCCAATCCACGATTGACATATTCTGTCTTGGTGTGTGGGTGCTGGATACTAAGTGCTAAAGCAGACCTAATACTTAGCTGTTCTTATAAACAACAGGAAAGGCTGTGAGATATGCTTTTCTGATAAGTGTTATTAATTTTCCTTTCATTTAGAGTTGTCTTTTTTCCTTCTCTACTGGGTCCTTGAAATGTCTGTTAGCTATAAAGGAGCGTAACATCTCCTAGACATGAGTCAAAAGTATTTTAGTAGCAATATTGATCTTGTGGGGGTTTTGTTTGTTTGTTTTTGTTTGTTTGTTTGTTTTCAACAATGGCCTTGAAAAACTTCAGAGTTGGTTAGTTTTTTTCCAGCTGTGAAAGACTTTTTCTGAACAGGCCTTGAATCTATTACTGCGAACTCTCAGGGATCTGTCTTTGAGTCACTAATAAAGATTGTCACACCATCCCATGGAGACGCAGTCTCTGGCAGTTGTAATTTGAGAGGATTGAGAGGTACAGGCTGATTCCTCTTACAGGGCATTAATTCAGAATAGAGTGTTGGCTGCAGGTTCATCCCAAATCCTGTCTGCAGAGTGACTGTCAAATTAATTTAATTATTTTTCTCCAAGCTTCATACATCTGGGCTGAAAGGATTCACATTCTTAGCACTCTCTTAACACTGATTCTTTGGATGCTCCGTTGCTATTTGCACGGATGGCTGTTTTGAGGGATTTGGCATTTGTTTGCATAGTGGTGGTATGGAGGCTTGCTGTCAGGCTGCCAAAAATGGCTCTATTTCCTCTTCATCACTGGAGCGTACTTGCTGAGAGCCAAGCAGCACCAGGCCTTCAGTAAGCTGCCATATGAGCACTTATTTTGTTTTTATTTAGCATTAGTGCTCACAGGTTCTCTATACTTCCCATTTGCCGTTGCGAGTCTAAATAAAACTCAGGAGCCCCTTTTTTTCTTTCCCTGCTCCTGGGGAATTTTCATAGTACTTTTGTTTCTGTCCTCTTATTCATCTGCATGTCCTTAATAGAGAAGATCAATTCAAAATATTACTAACAAATGTTTTTGTCATAACAAACTAATGTTGCTTTTCAGTATTTAAAGAGTAACTTAAAAAAAAAAAAAAAGAGAAAGGGAAATAGAAAAAAAAAAAAGCTTGTTTGCAGTTGTTCCCCAAGGTCTCTGAGACACGTTTAGAATTTCAAGCTATATGCTTTCCCTGTTTGCTATACTGTCTTCAGGGCCTATAAGTATTTGATAAACATATATCTCTATTTCTGTCTGTCTGCCTGTCTATATCTTTGTTAATATGATGCCTTCCTCCAAAAAATATTGTTTAATAGATAGAGTTATCCATAATTATAACACATACAACACTGTTTTGCTACTTGTTTCTGACATCAGATTCTCTATATCTGGCGCAGAGAAGGTACTTTTTCTTTTGACTGATATAATTCAAAGTTCTTTTTATTCTGTGTATCCTTTTTCTCAAAGTAGATAACATTTTCCTGTTACTGTGTTTCCCCTCATAGGCCAAAGGCAAATACCCTGTCATGAGAATTGGTCTCTGTCGCCTGAGGAATTTGAAATATGGGAGAGACTTTACAGGATTAAGGAAAGTGATGGAGTAAAGGAACCGATATTGCCTCAAATTCAGTTTGAAACCTTAGAAAACCTGGAAGAAGTATCAGTGAGTATAACCAACATGTGAGGTTTCCTTTGACATGAGGCCTAAAGGATACCCCAAGTAACAAAGTTAACTATGAATTTGAAGGAGGTCTATATTAAAAATGCAATTTTGAGAATTATGTAGGTTTTTGAGGTTAAGCAGTTAAGAATTAGGTGTTTGAAATGGGTCTTTGAGGTTAGGTCTATAAATTAAAAGTACATTAAAAAGTGTCTCAGTATTCATTAAGTTCAGTCCCTGTTTCTAAGAACTCCATGCAGGATACTGCATTTGTGATGGTATTTTATCCACGCTTTTTTATTCCTTTGCTTCTATAAGTATAAAAGTGTTATTGAAAGAAAAGCTCAAGTTTTACAAGCTCTTTTCTGATTCAGAGAAAAAAAATTTGGAGCTTTTGTGTCATTTCACCACTTAACCTGTCTTCCTTGAAAAGGTGTGACAACACAAAGAATGGAATTGGTTTTTATTTAAACCCGACTTAAACATTTGTGATAATGTTTAGATACTTGTCGGCATTGAGAGTATTTAATTTTGCTAAACAATTTCTTCATTAAAATCTCCTTGCCAATCTCAATTTCAAACTGCAGAAGCGTGAAGAGGAGGCAACTCATGAACTCTCCTTGTCTGAATGGAGAATTTGGCAGAACCGTCCTTTTCCTACATCCATGGTTGATCACTCAGATCGTTGCTACCATTTTATCAGTGTTATGGAGATGATAGAACTGATGAGACATGAACAGGTAAGGTGTTTACATTTGGTGTCTGTAAACATGTACAAGTATTTAATGCACAGTTAGACTAATTAAAACATAAAAAGTGCTCTAGTTCTGTCTGGTCAGCTGAAACAAAAAGTGGAGAAGTGTTTGCATGGGGCTTAGTTAGGCATTGTGAAATGGATAATGTGTATTTAATTCTGTTGCAAAATGTTTCCCACTGGTATTCTGTAATTCTTAATCTATTCCACAGAAGTTGTTTAAAACCAGTTAGTGTTTCCTTAAACAGAAAAAAGTCCCACCCATAAATCAGACTTTTTAAAAGGGATCCGAGTGTCAGTTTTTTACAAAAAGACATTAAATACAAGAACTACCTATCTCAAGGAGCAAAGTCACAAAGAGTGATATTAGAACTATTCCAGAGTGTAATAGGAATTGGAAATAATTTTGTATCGTGTATGTACATTAAATGCATCCCATAAAAATTATGCCAGAATGTATTGCATATTTTAAGGTAGATGTGTTTTGAGGCTTTTTGGTTTGTTTTCTGTGGAAGCTTTAATTAAAAACCTAATTGCTCCAACGAGTTAAAGGGTAAGAGGAGGGCAGTCAAACAAACATGGATGAAAACCATTTGGGAGATGAGAATTTTTTTTTTGCGAACAGTTATGGATAGCAGATACGCCTTTATAATGAAAGGCACATAAAAGAAAATGTGTGTAAAAATGGATCTGTTGAAGTACCTGAAGACTTCGGTTGTTTGCTACATTATTTTTTCCTCCAGTTTCACTCTTTTATGTTCCACACATATTGCTTTTTAGTGTGTTGAAGTTTTCTAGGTCATCGGAATCTGTTGCTAAGCTGCCAGAGTTTCCTGAATAACTAAACTAAGCAAGGAAGAGAATAGAGACATTGTAGTTGTACTCCTTGCTAGGGAAGTGTATTAATGGAAAGTTGTAAATAGACCTTCAGAGCTAAGATAAGCTTCTCCACTTCATCACTGAACAATGGCGTTCTTGACTTCTTTGAGAGTCTGTGTTCCCAAGCTAGGGTCAAGAACATACAGAGAGAGAGGAGTTGGGAAGAGTTCAGCTATAGAGAGCTGGAGGGAGTCAAGAGACAAAGAAATGGTGAAAAAATTAGAATGGCTCTTCTAATTGAGGACTTCCCACCACCAAGTGAGGCACTCGAAGTATTGGTGACTTCAGTTCCTTTTGTGAAAGTGCATTGATACCAGAAGCCTGTTCAGGTTCCCAAGTGCCTTCAGAATTGTAGATGCTAAACCAACATCTGGCACCCTTAAAATAATTTACAGAGCAAATTTGTTAGTCACCAAGCGAGCCTTCAGTCTTCTCCCCCAAACTTGGCCAAAGTAGGTGCCAAAAATTATAAGCAAAGTGGAGTATCAAATACTTGCTTTCACAAGCAAGCTTCTACAGACCTGTTACAGAGATAGGTCTGCCTACTGTCCCTCATGGGGACGAGACAGCCCAGCTCACCTACCTCTGCCCTCTGCTGCGTACTGAACAGAGAGGATGTCCCTTCAGCAGGCAGGACCCAAAACTGCGGCTTTTTACATCGTGGTCGTTGCTTTACATTTTGCTTAGCTCTGATGATGGCTGTCCAGCACAGGCAGGGGGTGTGTGGTGCATTCTGTGTAGTGCTCTGCTCAGCAGTCATGCTGCCGTGTGCCATCGGAGCACAGGAGCTCTCTCCCCAAGTGCTTCAGAGCAGCCCTGTGCACAGCACACCGCAGCGCTGCTGAGAGTCTGCAAACAGAGTCTTTTCACGTTCTTGGAAAATGCTGGAAGATCTGCACCAGAAAGGGATATAGCTATTAATTTATAGCAAGTGATAAACAGTTGGCTTTCACTATTTCTGATTTAACAGCTAAATGTCAGCTTTATATATATTTTATAGTGATACTTTGTAGGTAATGCTCTCGTGCTTGAAAGACTGGAACTGTCTGTTGTTTCATTCAGCTGCCTCCCAGCTCAACTTTTCAGGCATTATCTGGATTGATTTCCAGCCAGCTTTCTCTGATCTGTCTTAACTAGTCATAGGTGGACATGCTGAACTTTCTCATCAGTTAAAGGAGAAAGTGGAACTGGATATCACTCGCACACTGAAAACATCTCCTAGTGACTCCACAAATATGAGAGGTTACATGACACATCACTCCACCCTGTTGAATTCTTCTAGGGAAACACAAAGCACTAGCAGTGATTGACCATGTCTGACAAGGTTAACAAGGCAGAGGCTGTAATCCGTGCTGGGACCCAGTTTTTAAACTTCAGTGGCTGTTGGCCTCTTTCTTATATCTAAACCAAATTATCAAGGTTCAAGGACATCAAAGCTTCACCATAATTGTTTCACAAAAAGCGAAGATGCAACATGTCTTAATCTGTTTTGTCAGCACTGACAGTGATTTCTTGCATGCAAGTTTTATTAATGTTTTCTTGGTTTTCTTAAGTCATCCTTGACTTCTCTGAAAGGCACTGATAGTCTTCCCAAGAGAGGGTATGTTCCCACGACGTTCACCAAAGGGAAGTGAATGATGTATGTTATCTTTACAGTGGAATCACCCTGGAGCAGTCACTGCGCTGTGGCAGTGCCCATTCATCAGGCAGATTACACCAGCAAAAACTTGTCGCCCTGCAGTTCGGAAGAGAACAATCTTCCATATTCCATATTGCTAACGCAAGAGCACTTGTGAGGACGGGAGGTAGTTTTGGTTTCCTGCTACTACCAGTCTTGTCCTTATTCAGTCTTCCTACGGTTTCAATTCTGGTGAATCAGAAAGCACATACAGAGAAAAATGGATGTAATAATACAGTAAATCAGACCAAAGAACCTTTCAGTATAAAATATTTTTTAAAAAATGTGTCTGTGCTAAACCATATGTTGGTGAATGTCACCTGCTTTGAGGGCCGTCACTACTACCATAGATCAGTTCAGTTTGGACCTGTGGAGCTCTCTGGTCCAATCCAGGGACTGTGTAGACCAGGTGGCTCAGGGTCTTGACGAGTTAAGCCTTTGGGATCTCCAGGGCTGGAATCCCACAGCTTCTCTGGGCCCCTGGTTCAGCATTTGATCACCCTCGTGGTGAAAAAGTTTCTCCTAATATCTAATGAAAATTTCCCTTGTTACATGTTGTGGCCATTAACTCTGGCCTCAGCTTACCTCCAGGAAGCCTGGCTTTGTCCTCTCTCTGCTCTTACTCTAGATAAAGACGGTAATAAGATCCCCCTCTTCTTAAGACTGAACAAAGTTCCCTTGTCTTCCCTTGTACATCCTTGTGCTCCAGCCCTGTGACAGTTTTGGCCGCCTCTGCTGGACTTGATCCAGTCTGAGATGTTTCTTGTACTGGGGGCCCAAAACTAGACTATGCACTGCACATGTGGTCTCACAGAGGATGAACAGAGGAGAATAATCACTTCCCTTGCGCTGCTGGCTACTGTCTTGCTAATGGAGTCTGGGTGCGATCGTCTTTGTTGCCACAAGGGCACACTGCTGTCTCATTTTTCTGTCTTGAGGTTTCTGTCATCCTGTTGAGGACCTTCTGGACAGCAGCCCTGCCCTCAAGCATGTCACCTGCTTCCCCTCACCTGGTATCATCTGCAAACTTACTGAATGTGCACTCTGTACTGTAGTCAAGGTCAGTAATAAAAATGTTAAACACTAAAAACCTCTGAGAACACTCCTAGCAGCTAGTCACTGGCAGGACTTCATACCAGTCCTCAAAATGCTTTAATCACAGTGGTCCAGCCAGTTTTCCACCCCCCTTATTGTCCACCTATTCAAACCCTATCTCGTGAGTTTAGCTATGAGATTGTCAGAAGCCTTGCTGAAGTCAAGGTAAACAACATCCAGTGCTCTTCTCTTGCCCACAAAGCTGGGTACATCTTCATAAAAAGCAGTCTTGAATTCTTCATCCCTATACGTTCTGTATGCTTCTCGGGGTATTTTCTTGAAAGCTTGGATGTTTTCTTACTAGTTTGATTTGAAGTTTGTACATTAAACTCAAAATTGGAATAAATACAACATTCATGTAGTATTCTGCTTTCACACATTTAGATATTCCTTATGATATAGTATTCCCAACACTATCGCATGTGAAACTGTTCACATCAGGATCTTTCAAAACTCAAGCAAGCTTTGCCAAAACCTGATTATGCCACGTTGCTCGTAGTCAGACTATGGGGAGGTGTGGATGGTTTACTTTGACAGTAACTACTATGCTGATTTTTATTTTTTTTCCATATTGTGGAGTGCTTGTTCTTAGAAGGAAATATTAATTAAGAAATGCAGAAGTAGAGCAAAATTGAGGAAACTTAAAGATTTGTAGGCAATATTTTGAATTTCTGCACAGCTACTACAGCATGCTTATATAGGTGGTTGTGTCGTGGCTGTATTCCTGACTGATGCTGTGTAGGTGTGAGTAGCTGTGCGGGCAAAATTCCGCCGACTGAAAGGACTGCCTGTGTTTGCAGGTGCAGGGCTGTGCACCACCGGCCCTGTGTGTGTTTCTGCCACTGTATTTTCACGAGCAGTTCAGTTCACCACATGACTGGGAAAACCGTGAGGTTTAAAATCATGCTTCTCTACCAGATTTGAATTTAACTCCATTTAGTGTCCCGCTGTGTTTTGCGGTGAGACCCCACAGGTGCGTTGTGCTTGCTCAAGGCGCGGGCAGTTCAGGGAGAAGACAGCCGCTGCCTCCTGCATTAGCGTGGCGTGCTTGTGCCGCGGGTGGATTAACGTATCCCCAGGCGCATTACCTGTACGCAATATACAGCACACAGATTGGGGTGGTCTCAATTCAAGCTTGGTGTTCTACAGACTGCTTTGACCTCGCCATTCTTGGTGAAGATTGTTTCTAGAGCAAGTTTAAACTTTCAGAAGCCTGGCTTTACCAGAGTGTTTGGAGGTGTCTTGAAATTGTAGGGAGTGCTGTTATTAAACAGTAGGACAGCATAAAGGGGTGTTGCTTCAGCCTCTGGGAAATCTACCTGTAGCAGAAGTTA